GTCCTTTGTTCATGCATGATATTCTGAGACATGATACATCATTTTTGTTAGTAGTACAGTTAAGGATTCAGACATTGTATGAGATGTGTATGTTTGTTATGTTGTTGGAACACAGCAATTTGCTTTACAGCTAGGAAGATAATACACTAATATACTGCAAATGCAACTGCTTGATCTTATTTCAACTGGGAAATGAAAATGTAATGAAACAGAATTCCATTTTGATAGCATTGATTACTCTGTAGGCAGTTTAACTTTTCAAAACCAGTTTTATAACATTCTCATCTGGTTCTACGTCAAAGAGACAGATTTAACATGTATTATGTTTTGTTAGTAATCTCTCAAGTGGCTTGAATACACTAACCACTGTTGCAGCAATAAGTAAGTAATACCGAGCACTGTTAAGTCCTGAGTGCAACATAAAGTGAAAGCCCATTTATTTTAGAATAAAAAAATATATTTACCTCCTGTAATGATATATTGAACTAGCTGAATTCTAGGTGTACTTTTATATAATATGGTGCTGAAGCGGCACAAATGCTGGACATCTGAAACATATGTATTTCTTTGTCGAAGCTCCAGATTATTGTTCAAGTCATTCTTCACGAAAACCTATATAACTCTAAACACACTGCAAGTTTTAAAAAGGAGTTATCAAAACACAGGCTGTCATTTGCAGTGATATATAAAGAGTAATAGTGTGGCAGGTCTTTTTTTGATTTCTGACGCATTTTCTGTTAGGAGCAACAATGTTGATGGGTGTAAAATAGCAGCATACAGTACTTATAATGCCACTTACTTTTAGGTACCTAAGCAATCATTAGCTCTTAAATAAAGATAAAACTATTAACTATTAAGTATTAAGTTATTTGAGATTATCCTTTGGATTCCTGAACCTTAAGTATGGTTGCAGGACAAGGACATCTCTAACATTCTGTATTTGGTTTGTGTGGGAAGGTTCTGGTAGTGCGTCCAACAGAGCCAATGCCAACCGGCTCAAAGATGGACCCATTGCTGGCCATGGCCAAGCCAGTCAGAAATGGTAGCAGCACCTCTGTGATAACATATATAAGAAGGAAAAAGAAGTTACTGCAGAGAAATATTTGTGGCCAGAGAAGAGAGGAATGAAAATATGTGAGAGAAACAGCTCTGCAGCACCGAGATCAGTGCAGAAGGAGGGGCAGGAGGTTCCTCTGAAGCCTGTGGTGAAGACCATGGTGAAGCAGGCGGTCCCCATGCAGCCTATGGAAGTCCATGTGGTAGCAGAGATCCATCTGCACCCCGTGGAAGACCCTATGTCAGAGCAGGTGGATGCCCAAAAGAAGGCTGCGACCCTGTGGCAAGCCTGTGCTGCAGCAGGCTCCTGGCAGGACCTGTGGAGAGAGGAGCCCATGCTAGAGTAGGTTTACTGGTAGGGCTTTTGACTTTGTGGGAGACCCACCCTGGAACAGCCTGTTCCTGAAGGACTGTACTCCAAGGGAGGGACCCACACTGGAGCCGTTTGTGAAGAATTGCAGCCCATGGGAAGGACTCATGTTGAAGAAGTTTGTGAAGGACTGTCTCCCATGGGAGGGACCCCATGCTGGAGCAGAGTTAGGACTCTTCTCTCTGGGGAGGAAGAAGCAGAAGAAATAACATGTAATGAACTGGCCATAACCCTCATTCCCTGTCTCCCTGCACTGCTATAGGGAATGAAGTAGAGAACCGGGAATAAAGTCCACTGTGGTAGACTCCTCGCTTTGCAACCCATCACTGTTAAAAAGCCAGTCTCCAGGGCCATGATAATAAACACTGGTTGTATTGTATCTTTTCTTTTTCCCTAATGAGTTGAGCGGAGCATTTTGAAATTTACTTCTACAACAGAATTCTTACCTATTCTTTTCAATAACATTTCAAAATGCAGCCCTTATGAAGTGCAATGCAGTGTATTCTAAGGCCTTAGAACGGAATAAAATTTAGAAAATGACTGAAAACTAAACAATTCCAGAAGGGCTTTGAGATTTTGAAATCAAACTTTTGACTAAATCAGGAAAAATGATTGCTTATGATTTTTCCCCAAAGTGATATATTTTGGGTAATTTTTAATATGGCTTTCATAAATTTTGTATTAAATTAATGCCTTTTAATTGTATGTCTTTTAAATATTTCATAATGAAGAACAAATATTTCCAAACCAAAAACAAACACTATTCCAAAAGAGTATCAAAAATTGAATGTTTTGATAATATCAGAACTTATTTAAATTCTGAAAAAAATTCAACAGAAGCAGTAAGAAAATATGTAGCAAAGAATAAAAGCTAGACATTGTAAAAGGCTTATGTAAAATGTAAATGTTTATGCTATTTGATTTTGAACCTTTTAGTCTATGATTTTATTAGGGAAACATTAACAACTCAGTAACAGGCTGAGTTTTTTCTCCCTCCAAAAGACACTGTGGTAAAATATCAATGGTACACAGAGAGGGCACAAATGTTATTCCAGTTATAAATAAGTGCTTAAATACCAGCATGCATTCTTATTTCAAATATGAAGCTACCATTTATTTTGTCATAAATAATATTAGCTTCAACTCTGATGGTATCTTGAACATCTTCCTTCGAACCATGAGGTCATGACATTTCTGGAAGCACTTATATTCAACAAGAAAACATTTATCTTTTTAGCCTCTGCTAGTCTTCCCATTCTGAACCATGAGAAGCATTCTGGAATAAATATTTTTGTGCAATGGTATTTAAAGAGGATTACACCTTGGTTTTACTGTCGTGAACAGTGTTTGCTTATGACTATCATACATCATTTTGAGCATTGAATCATAGCCGTGTGTAAATTATCAGTGGATCACATAACCTTCAGAAGTCATCTATAAAAGATCATCTATAATTTCTACAAGTATTTTTAAAAGTCTATAATTTATTATAATTTCTCCCTCTTTCAAATGAATTAAAAAGTAATATAATAATTTATGCAGTTCTTAGAGTTATTTGAGTTATGTGGTTATCCCAATTTTATAAAGTAACTGGATAGAGTCAACAGCAGCATGGTTTATTTTTTAATGTAATTATTTTTGCAGAAAAATATATAAGCTTAACTTATATGCAAACTAAGGAGTAAAATTGAAAAAAATTGATAAATTGACCTCTTAATTTCCTTGTGTGCTTCTGTTGCTGAACACAACAGCCTGTTGAACTCACCAGAGGTCTGATAAAGCCTCTTCTCACTGGGTTTCATAAAAGAAGCACTCATATAAAAAGTAAATATTAATATGTTTTTAATAGCTTTTTAAAAAGATATCTTTACCTGTGACACAGTGCAAGAGAATAGAGTATCCTACTAAACTGTATTGTTAACATGCATCACTAGCTAAATGATTGCATTTTAAACAAATAATTCAAATGTACCTAGGGGGCACCCCTATCGAGGACATCATCACTGACCTTTGGAAGGTATTTAAGAGTAATGGATGAATTCTGTAAGGCAGATATTTATGAATATATATTGTGATACATTTACCTGATAGACTATTAGACTTCATTATACCTTTTTATTAGTAAGCATTCTGGAATGTTTGTAAGGTGTAGCATTTATCCCATGGCTGACATTAGATTATCTGAAATCTGCCCTGTCTGTCTTTACAAAAATTTCGTATTTTTTCAAAACAAAGCCAACAATCTGTTTATCACATTTTTAAAAAAGTATAATTGTAGAGAGAGTGGAGGAAAAATACCACTTTACACACTTACAACAGAATAAACATGTCTAATTTCAACAAAATGGGGCATCACAAGTATTTTTATAGTTCCTTTTCATATTCTTTTTACTTCCATAAATTAAAGATAGCCAGAAATTTTTTACAGTACAAACATAAGGTCATGTGAAAGTAAGAGGAATTGTTGTTTTGATTTCTTATCTGATTCTGCAAATTAAGGGTGTTATGGCAATTCCTTGTCCAAAATTAGCTACTACAGTTTTTTAATTTTATTACATATTTTGATAATGTACATTTGCATATTAACCTGAAAACTTCTGTATTAGAGAAGCAGGAGGATTTACAAACCTATAAACCCGATTGTTAAAGTGAAATGACATACATGGTTTTCTTTGTCCATAAGGCCTTCCCCATAATTTTTACCCATATAGGTTGCTTCCAGGTGTACATTACAATTCAAATTAGGAATCATTGAGAAAATTTCAGATAATTATTCCCTGAAACCTTATATCTTGCCTTACATCTGGTTGTGCCATATGCAGTTCATTGCTTTTCAACACCATTTTCAGAAAGAATTTAGTAGACAAAACACTGAAGAGTAAGGATAAGACCAGTAAATTTAAAAGCATAATAAATTTAAAAGAGTTTTGATATCTGCAACCTTTTTTATTGGAGTTAGATCAATTCTATATGTCTGTCTAATTAGAGTTATTTTAGAGTTTTTGATCTTTGAGATATTTGGGAATATTCTTTCATAAAATATGACATAAATTGTGATATCTCAGTTCATCTTTTTTGGTATCTTGATTTTTTTGTTTTGTTTTGTTATTCCTCTGTTTAAGTTTGAAGTAGAGCTGAATGAAAAATACCTTTTTCTGCTGTGTTGCTTTGTTTGTCTTTATGGAATAGGCTAACGTGTTATCTTTTTTTTTTTCTATTGACAAGACTGCAATTTAAACTGAACAAACCCCAGAAAGTTCTGTCTGAATTGGCATTTCAAGATCTCAGTGTTTAAGTACATTCTAAATTTTAGTGTTGAATTCCGCACAACTCTGAAATAGGTGTTTTTCATAATTACTTTAAATTCTATCCTGATATGAAATAGTGAAATAGACACTCTGCAAATTATTTTAACAGTATTTTATAATGCAAATTATCTATCAGGCTTACAGAAAGCCCAGTATTTTGTCAAAGCCTCATGGATTCGATATGTTTTGGGTATTCCATGTATGCTGATGTTTATTTTAATTCTTACAAAATATCTTAGATGAAACAATAACTTACTTGATTTCAGGAGCTGATGCTGTGGAGGCTCAGTGTAAGAGATTTGAAGTGAGAGCAAGTGAAGGTGGAAAAGTATTGTTTTCTGCAGATGAAGATGAGATTGTCATTGGAGCTGACAGACTGAAAGTAACAGGTATGGTAATGATAAAGTGTCTAAATAGATGTAAACAGTATATATTTTTTAATATTTTTAGTAATAACTAAACAACTAATCTACAAAATTTTAATCCCTTGTAGAGGAAAAATTGTTCTCATCATCAGTGATTGCTTGACCAACCAAAAGATGCTGCATAATCTAAAAATCAATTCCTCTAAAGACAGATATGAATTTAAAGTCTACAGGATCAACTGTGATACAAATCACACTTACCATTGTGATTTGTCTTTTATATGTTACCATTAAGCATTTTTTGTAGTACCTATGCCATTTGTTCATGCTCCTTCACAATAAGAAAAACTATTGTCATATACTCTGACCTTTGTTTTTTCTGTATATACAAAGTATCAAGTCTAACTTCCATCTGAATTAACAGTATGTTCTCTGCTTCATGAGGCTCAGCTGAACCATTGTGAATAGAAATCTTGTCTTGACTTGAGCATTTGTTCAAGAAAGTAAGAAAAATAGTTGTCATTACTAGATATATATATATATAAGTCATTTGATATTACTGTTATGGATTCACCCTAGCTGGCAACTAAGCCTCACACAGCCACTCGCTCCATCGCCAGTGGGGATGGAGGAGAGAATTGAAAGAGTGAAATTAAAAATACTTATGGTTTGAGATAAAGACGGTTCAACAACTGGTAAAGCAAAAGTCACGCATGCAAGCAAAGTGAAAAAAGGAATCCATTCACTTCTTTCCATGGGCAGTCAGCTGTTCAGCCATCCCTAGGAAAGCAGAATCCATCATGTGTACTGTGAACAAAGAGAATCATACTGAATTCTGCTAAAGTTCAAACTCAGTCATAATATTAAATGCTGAGAAATTTAATCTTAAATATAAAATTGACAAAAGAGATTTCAAAGTATATATCAAAAGTTGAAAAATAAAACATCTTACAAATGACACTAAGAATTAGATTTCCTGCCACTGAGAAATGTGATCATAAGTTTTAGATGTCATGGTAATTATTTTTTAATCAAACTTTTTGCACCATAAGTACTATTTTTGTCCGAAGATTCTGTGATACTTTAAATTTTCCAGCAAACATGAAAAATTGTGCGTCCCTGTGAGCTCCATCAATCAGACTGCATTACTTCACATGACACGATATGACTGATGAAACCTGGCAAGACATCATAATGTCAAACATCAACCAGAATTTTTTTCTTTAGTTTATTTTCTCAGGCATGTGTTTTGATTATCATGATGCCTTTGGGGTGAAGGTAGGAAAGGAATCATTGAAGAACAAATAAAACAAAAATTGAATATCAAAAAGCAAATATAAGCTGTGCTTATTTGGAAATTAAACTCTCACATGCAGTTATTTAAATGTGGTAATACAATAAAATTATTTTATTTTCTTATGTAGTGATCAATAGTGTCTCTTTGGGAACACTTAACTGTGAATAGGTCCAATAAATGATTCAATTTGGTAATAATTTTCTAGACTACTATGGCAATGTGGGATTTTTTGTATATGATTTTTTCTCATTTTAGAAGAATAAACATCCTTTTAAAAATTATCATTAGACAGTCTAAGAAATTCTTGATTAATAAAAACTTGTTAGATTAAGTAGACAGCTTCTCATTGATTATTTTTGTAACATTTTTATTTGTAAATTTTTATATAGGCAGCCTATTTCAGGGAGAAAGGTATAGTAGAAACACTGTAGTAATCCAGATATCGATTTATTTCCCAGAAAAGAAATATATGGAATCAGTAGTACTTTTTGTTTTAGAGATATTGCAACCATATCTTTCCCTATTAAGAGTCTGTCACTTTAAAATTAGGCAGTTGGCTGATTTAATTTAAAATACTTATTATTCCTTCCATTGTTACTTTAGCTTTTTTGTTTAACTGTGTTAACTCTTTTCTACTTTATTATTCAAGGAAAGAATAAAAAAGATTTAACTTTTTGCTTTATTAGACAGATCTGTTAGAATTGCAGCTGACTCTTGCCCCTTTGAGCAGAGATGCTTCCTGCCACCAAGCTTAATGTGTATCACAGAGCTTTGTAGGGATCAACGAGAAAGCCTTGATGAGTTGAACATATTGTTGAAGAACTGGGAAATAAGCAGGAATAGGGAGCTGACTTTCTGGTGGGCTTACAGGTTCCTTTCTGCACACGGTTAAACCTTTCTCCATCTCTTATATTCACCCTGTCCTAGTGAACGGACAGCATGTGTAGTATCACAGGGTCTCCTTCACTCTTTCTGCAGTTACAGAGCAAGATATCTGCTTGACTTTTACTTCTGTTATCTAAATCTTAATGCAAAGTTTCCTGCCCCTTGCTTTTATTTTGTATTTCTTTTAATTGCAAGATGATCTCCGTAAGATACTCTTGTAACAGAGTTGTATTAGTCACCCTTGTCAATGAGAGTACAAGCATATATTGTGAGGCAGCTTTACCCTGCCAGAGTACTTTTGAGAGAACAGATTAAGAAGGCCTAGGTCGGTATGCATTTTTTTAAGACAGTGCTATGAAAGAAAGTTATACAGTGAAAGATTTTATAGTAAGAATTATGTCTCTGATAGTACAGTTTGTCATCCTCTTTTTTCTTAAACCAAGCTTGTATCTACCAGCTGTTTAAAAAGTACAAAGGAACGTGGACCTTGTCTAGATATAGTCTAACTACTCCTACTTTTTTTGACAACTCAACCAAGGTTTTTTCTCTGACTTTTGAGGTGGTTTTCTCAGTTAAGGCTAAATACCCACTATCAGAACCTCTTTTTTCCCATTAAATTTATACTGTTTTATCCAAATTATACAAATATTTTGCTTTTTTGATAAAAGTATTTCTCTCTCTATGTTTTTTGAAGGAGAAGAGATAGCAATTTAATTCTCATCTTGTCTCCTACATGTTCTTCTGATCTGTACACTTCCATCACTTTTCTATAGTGTTCTTTAACCATAATTTTATTTCTGATCCTTTTTCTGAGACCCATAAAAACTATACTGTAACTTGTTTTGTTATAGGTTTTACATGATTGCTAAATCAGTTGTACTTTTAGATGTGGCTTTTCATGTTTATTAATCATGTTTTAAAAAAGGCAAATTAAATAAGTCTTCCATCAGAAGCTATTGCTGTTCTGCAATCAAATTCAATTACGTTTTCTAGATGTAGCACATAAGCTGTGTCGCTTTTTCTAAATAACCCAGTCTAAATTGTTTGGAAAATATTACCTTTATGGAGAACTAATTTATTTTGTTCCCTATTACTTTCTTAAATGCTGGCTTATTTTCTTTCATCCCTTAATGCTGCATGTCTGGGCACAGGACCTAAAGTCCTTTCTGGATAGAACTGAATTTTTTTATAATGATAATTAATATGTCAGCAATAATATTTCTCCTCTAAAAATAAATAAGAAGCTAATTAGAAAATTGTCAGTTATTGTTTTACTAAGATTTTAGTAATAAATCTATAGAGTTCAAGTCCTTCCATAATTTTTGGAAACACAAAACTTTTCAGATACGTGGGGTTCCCTGTCTGTATTATATGACCTCATACAGTTAGATGAAGATCACTTTGTTTCCATATTTCAAACATAAAAATAGATCTCATTATGGGAAGTGCAATTGTACTAAGGTTTGCACATTGTTGCCAGCAGCAGTAGGAGAAACAAAAAGAAGAGGCATAAAAAACTTGCAGATCATTACGACTTCCTAAGAGCCTTCTTCCTTGTCAAATAGCACAGCTAAGTAGAAAAATGGAAGTCAGAAGAGGACAACATACTTCAGTTGTAATGGAAACAGTTTCTGAGATTAATAGCAGGATGTGTATAGGTCAAATCTAATTTGACACCAGAACAGTGTCAGGAAAAATCTGTGAAGGGCTGGAAGTATATTTTTCATTATGCCAAAGTATATGCTTACAGTGGGTTCAGTATGGCTTTTGATCAGTCATTAACTTTACTAGATGAAGGATGAGAGCCTTGATGTATCAAGGAAACTTCGGAAGATACCTACATACATTCTCTTAATATTCTAATAATAGTGAGAATTAACATGCAAAGGAGTGCATCAGTACTTCAGTTTTGATTTTAAGATTATGATGCAGGACTGTGAGTCTGTAGGTAATTGAAATACAGAAAGGTCTTCCAGAGTAGTTAAAAGGAAATGATAAAATAGAAATATGGCTTATGGCTATAAAAAGGAAATATGACAGAAATATGAGGAAATATATGTGAATTGCAAATTAGGTTGGAAAAGTAGAAATAAAATATTTATAACAAGTACTGAAATGTAGAAAAATAAATTATTTTATGTATGTTGTTATTACAGTAGGCGTATATCTAGTACATTCAGCGACTGAATAGTAATTTTGGTATGAATGGGAAAGATCTTGGATTTGCCACGTTCAACTGGTGGATTGTCATTCAGGACAGATGGAGTTTGGAGAGTGAAGTGGCACAAGATGAAGGGAAACAATCACTTTAAGCTGGCTTATGCAACCAAATTATCTGACCACAGTAAAACTACTGTATTTGATGTTGTTCTAAAAAGTTAATCCTTTAAGTAAATAGGCCAGATTCTCAGTATCCTGGAGACTGCATGAACCAGAATTCTTTTATCATCGTCTCTCAGTAACAAAAATGCATCATATACATAGGATTTTTGTGTTTCCTCAGTAATGTCTACATTAATATGTACTCCAGAATGTACTGGATGAATAAGGTTTCTGACAAGCTTATTTAGATCTCAAGAAAGCACTCAATGTCCAGACTTGTCTGTATGAGAGCTCTGTTTGAAAGATAATATTATTGTGGTAATCTAATTACTTGGCAATAGAACAACTTGTCAGGGCATTACTCTGAAGGTACAACTACAGAGCTGATTACAGTCATATGCATGTGGGCTCCAAGCTGTCTATGAACTGAAAGATGTGTAGGCAGGCTACAAGTGGTGAGACTAAGTAAATAAATTTCTTATCCAGGACATTGCATAAATACATTTATATCTTCTAGTTA